GGGCCCAATCTTGGATGACAGCTCAAGAGAGCGTGTGTTCAAAAGTGACCTGCTCAATGCCACCAGAAGACAACACGTGCATTTTCCCTGTGCCTTGTCTTGTGAGAAATGATGTTCATCATATTTAGGAGTGTATAGGCTGCAAGAGAGCCCCCTCCCTCAAAATTTTCAGTAATGTTTGATACTCACCCTCTCGTTGCGCGGTCCAGTGAGACGCGCCAACGACATATAGGCGACATATGTAAATGAACTATACATCGAGCGAAGCTCATCCCCAAATGCGGTCAAGACGCAAAAGTTGGAAAGGCGACCTTCCACGACTCTGTCGTGCGGCCGGCCCCAGCTTTCAAAGCCGAGGCCAAAGTAAACAAAGACTGGTCAGACATGTAAAAAGATGCACCAACAATGGCGCCTTGGCAGAACACTTTACCTGCCGATTTGGCAAAACCAGGTTGCATTTCTCCTGGAAAAGGTTGGCATGTAGGGTCTTTAGCCAACCATTGAAGGCACTGTCTAATCTGGGTGAACACGTCATGCATCGTGAGATTTGCATGATGGTCAAGTTTCTCACCAGCCGTGTAAAAGGCAATGGCAAACTCACAAAAGGCAGAACTCTCAGCATGATGCACTTTCCACTGCAGCTTTCTTAGGTAGTTACAGATGCAAGTCAAGTTATCTTCCGAGTGCCTCCAACGTTTGGGTGCGGCAACATTGGTTGGAAGCTTTGGTTTCCATGGGTAGCACTCAACAAGAGCCCCCCACGGCCACTTCGGGAAGAAGGTGGGGGCCTTGTCAAATGCAAGCTCATCCGATCCTTGTGATGTAGTCCTATTCTGGTCTTTAAATGCAGCGTGATTGCAAACACCCGTGGTGTCCAGCTGACAATGAAGTTTCGTGAGCAACTCTTGGTGAAGGGCAACCGCAGCAGGAAGAACACGTTGGATTTCCGGATGAACCGGCGAGGCTAACAGGGCTTGTCGCTTGGCCTCAGCGTCCGCTCTGCGATTGTAAATAAGGCGACGAACCGTTGTGCCCACCGCAGCAGCCGCCGCGTCGGTCAAGTCTTGGTTGGAAGTGGATTCCAGCCGGTGAGCGGGGATCCACTGCGCGTGCAATGGCGTTGGGTGGTTATAAGCCGTCGTCGAACCCAGACTTCGTGAAGCTTTCTCCACCATGTCACACATCTCCAGTTGTTGTCAACCGCACCCGTGTGGATCATCCGCAAACAATGGTCAACCACGGTTTTGTTGTCCGTGTAGATGCAAACTGGCGTTTCACTATGTGCAAAAGCCATCCACACCGCTTACAACTCTGGCACATAACTGCTGAGTGTCAGTTCAAACACTGGTCCGGACATCGTAACTTCTCCTGCTGCGTCAATGATAGCAAAGGCAGCTGTGGCAACCCAGAAGTGCTTTTGCCAGAGCAATGAGCCGTCAGTCCAGTATTCCAGCACCGGAGCGGCAGCATGAAAGGTAGCCACTTGTACCTCATCAACCTTAGTTTGCCGGATACGATGCTTGGCCAAAGCAACAGGGTGTTCGAAAATTCCCAACAAGGGAAAGTTTGCTCCAAATTCATGAAGCGCGGGGCGTGATGTCCAGGCATGGTATTTGGAAAGACCACATGCGCAAGAGTTTCTTTGGTTTGGCCACAGAATCGACACAAGGAGTCCTTGGCCCAACCCGAGGCGCATAATCTATCCTTGGTAAGGGTGCACCCAACCAAAACGGACTCAAAATGCGAAACAGCAGAGGGAAAGTGTGGAGTCTGAAAGGTCGGATTCCTGAGAAACTCGGTGCTCAAACTAAAATCACTCAGTAATGTTTGATACAATTTTTTGTTGGGGACATGGTAGCGGGAAAGTCTTCCACTGGGGATGCAGCCTTGATGAGATTGAGTTTGTGGACCCATCCGGGCACGTGATTGGAGAACTAGCAGTGCAGAAAGTTGCTGAAAGCCGGGCCAAGATCCGCGTGTGGCTCACTGCGGCGGCCGAGTCTGCGCTGGCCAAATTGAAACACATGAAGTTGCCAGCGGCCCAGGTCGAGTTCAAGCAGCAGTCAGCTCCCACACCATGCGACGCAGCCACTTTTCATGGGCTTTCGGCCAAGGATTTGGGCCGCGGTGTGGCAGGAACTCAGAAAAGCATTCAATTCTTGCAGGATCTGCCAAAGCTGTTCGAAAAAGCAACATGCACCACCAAGCATGGCCAGTCATCCGTTCCATGCGTTGAACTTTGCCATCGGATTCCAATTTTCTTTGAATCTGCTATGCAGTGCAAGCCGCGAGATTATGGCCGGCACGTTCACGAAAAGTTGGCGCAG